CGGGCAAACAGTGTCCAGCACTTCCTCCAGGAAACTTTTGAAATACCAGTAAAGAACTGCTCTTATTGGCACTGACATTGCTGGTTTTTCTGCTTCTGCATACTTAAATTATACATGTACCATGTCTCCTTCCCCCACCCTCACCCCAACCATTAGTTGAGGTTCTCTTTAACTTAGGAAGGCAGTGAAGAAGTGAATTTTGGTGCTTCTATATTCATTGTGTTTGCTTGCTCAAATTTCTTATACTATAAAGAGTTGTAGAGCTAGGCAAAAGGATATCTGTCCTTGTTTCTGGTCTTGTTGAACAGAAAAAGAAAAAAAAAAAAAAGTTTAAAGAGAAAATGTTAGAGGAGTCTGACGGAACTGAAAAGAATTGAGAAGAAATAAGGACTCACAGAAGTCCCATAGCACTGGAAACAAAAATGAATTCACTTAAGTGTCAAATAACACTCTACAAAGATGTGGGCTTAAAGGAAAAAGATGAGAAAATGAACTGCTCACATAAGCAGACAGTCTGGTAACAGTGCAAAGACTGTAGGAGATGAGGGAGACAGAATGATGGAATGAGACAATATTTAACATTTTTCTTTGCAATGCAAAAGGTAGAGAGTAGCAGTAAAAACAACTGAAAACTAGAATAAATGAATGAAAAATGAATAATGAAGTAAATAAAAGGAATGCAAATTTAAGATGTGAAAGGTGAGACAATGAAATTGAAAAGGACAGTGTAGAGAATTGAATAGATAAAGTCAGATGCAGGAACCTAATCACAGGAGAATAGAAAATAGATTAGAAATAAAAAATGAACTCCAATGGTAGGGGGAAAAAGCTAGAAAAGAGTAGCAAGCGGAACAGATAGATGAGGGACATGGCCTAGCAACCCAGCAAATAGAGACTCCATGCTTTCCCTAGTGCTAAACTTGGACCAAAATACACTTAACTGAGCTCTGAATTACAGTAGGCTTGATGTTTTCAGAGTCCATTAAAGCTAACCAGTAATTGAGTCTCAAATGGAGAAAATAACCAACTAAACCTCCTCCCCGCCCAGGTAATAGCTGAAGATATTACAGTATCAGAAGATGGTTTCTTTGGTCTAAGATCTAGTAATTGTTCCTTAAATATACACTAGCACCTTGTCAAACCCCATACTGTCATGCAGCCCCAGCGATGGGACCACCAGTTTTGCCCATTCTTTCCTCCTAGCCCACAGGTCTTAACTATCTCACAAGTCATAGACAGCAGCTTTCCCCGAAACACAGTAAGTGACACTTACTGCAACTTATTGAAAGGGAAGGCTCCACGTAGTCCCTACAAAAGAAAACTGTATCACTACAGGGAGGAACCAGAGCTCCTTTAAGTCTTTAGTGAACTGGACAATTAATTATTCCATGTGCTCCAAAGTTTCTCACTCTCCCTGTCCTAAACAGATCAAGAACATCTGATGTCTTTGCAGCCAGAGCCCAACCTGTTCTACTAAACACCTCTCCCTAAAAATATTGGCTCTGTGGAGAAAGCAGCTGGCCCACCTACTTGCCCAAATGAGCTGTTTGAAGTCTACCCTAAACCTTTTACAAAATGTGCATGTTTGCAAATGTTTCGCTTCTCCCCTCGAATCTCCCATTTTTGATGAAAACAAAGAGACAACTCAGTATAGTTTTTTACACCTTTAAACATCAAAGAAACTTCTCTACATGAAATAATTTGAGCAGTACAAGGCTACAGGGCATCACCAGTCCAATGTCACTATCCAATTCCTAAGGCAGCAAACAGAATACTGACAGCTTTCTAATGATGTTATTTCACTTCCTTTTTGTACGAGTAGTTTCTCAATTTACACACTTATATGTGTATTTTTGCAGAGAGGTGAAGGTGTCATCACAACATGAGAATGTATTCTCTGACATATTTCATAGGTGAAATCTTGATGGAGAGCGTATATATTTCAGTTATCATATATGGGTGATACCCAGAGAGAATAAATGCTTTTAAGCCACAGGACATATGTAAATACTGGCAAAATGTGATAGGAAATTTAATTGTTCCCCTTGAGCCAGATTTAATAACAAATTAAATACCCAGTTTCCACTAGTCCTATTATCAGGACTTGTGATAACTTGAAAAAATTACCTGAAAAGCATGCTCACTTTTTTTAAGCCTTAGTTTGCAAATCAGGTCGGTGGTTTTGTTTTTTTTTTTTCCCCAGACTGTCTGAGATCCATCAAAGCTGTTTTAAGAATTAGTTTTTTAACCCTTTGTACAGGTGTGGTACACCTCTCTCCATTCACTCTATGGCTGGCACACTCGGAACAAGACTGCGTTGCAGTGGTTTCATTCTAAGCAATGCTTTATAGAGCAAGCACATCTGATAACTCCTAAACACACAATACAGTTTTAAATTTATGGAATGGAGGTATTTTAACTGGATTGGCATAGGAAGTGTAAAATTGTTTCTAATCCATGGAATCTGTGAAAACCTCAAAACAGTTTCCCAGAATAAAGAGTTTTGCACTGTATCTTCCAGAAACATTTTTGTGTGATAGCAAAAGAAAATACTTTATTTGGCAAAAGCAGTTCTTTGGAGAAAAGCTAAGCAATACAGTATATATTATTCAGGGATTTTTTTAAAGCAACTCAGAAGATAAGTTAAAGAAAAGACACAAAAGAGAAGTTTTATGACCTGCTTCCTATTTCAGCCATACTGATGGTATTAAGAGTAGAGCAAAATTTTTTATGTGATGGTCTGGCAAATAATTAGTGATTTACCCCAGACCATCATGAATAGCATTTTATTTTAATGTAATTACTGCTCAAGTACAACATTTTAAAGAATAATGTTGATTACTAGTTTTATTTTTTAACATCACTACATCTGGATGAGACTGTTTCTCAACTTCCAGAAATTTCAATGTAAAATCTTCTCAGCTGTTATTACTGGGCTCAATCCCGTGGTTATTTTTTCACTTTTCCATTTTTTTTTTAAGTAAAACATTAATGTAATTCACCACTTGGTAACTGGGGAGAGATAGCAGCCTACTATTGTGGCAAACCATTGCAACTTGCTTACTTTCAGTTATGCACCCATACTCTTAATGTGTTCACTGACTTGGACTTAAAAGAAAAGGCTATTTAGCCACAATATTACATCATTAAGTCACACTAATTTCATAGTTTTCAATCATTTTCTCATGCCCTATTTCTAACCACCAGCTGAATCCATACAAATAATGCATATAAAGTGTCACACTCAGCAGATATACAATCATCCAATACCCTAAGAAA